TTGGAGTGTACTAAAAATAGTTAAGTTGCGCCTCCTTTTTTTTTTTTTTTTTTTCTTTTTACATAGGGGGGAGGGGAGGGACTATTTCTAAGCTGAGTTACCATTGGGCTGGGATTGTACTTTACCCCCTCTCCACTGGCCCATTAGGAAACGCTGATGGGCGTTTCTTGGGCTTCACAGTCATGTGATCACTATAATTGGCCGTCACAGTGATCACATGATCAAGAGCCCGTCCTATCGGCAAAGTGACCAGAAGCTGCCGGTCCCAGTGCTGGAGGGCGATCGGTTGAGCATGGTCCAAGCATAGCATGGTAACACTGGCTGTACATCAAAACCCCAGTCTGCCGCAAATGAAGGGAGAGTTGATGTGCAAAGTTCACACCTTCGAGTTTTGCAATTGATGCGGTTTTGATGCATTTCGCTCTTTTTTTTTTTTTTTTTTTTTTTTGCCAATAAATATTGACTTTGATGCCACTTTGGACGGGTGGGCCTTGGGCGCGGCTTTGGACGGGTGGGCCTTGGGCGTGGCTTTGGACGGGTGGGCCTGGGAAGCGGCTTGAGTTCCAGAGAGTGTAAAGCCGCACTACATGAACAAAACATTCATACTTTTTTTTTTTTTTTTTTCCTCTAATAGGAAAGTTTGACCGTTCTGTTCATGTAATGCAACTTGATGCGACTTTAGGCTCGGTCCGCACTACAGCGACCTGAAGGTCACGTGACTTTCTGGCAACTTGATGCGACTTGAGTACTACTTTGATGCAATTTTTGAAGCAACTTTCATGCCCTGTGTCTTCGCTTGCGGCCAAAGAGAATGTATCGTCGGATCCAAATCACATCAATATAGATGAGGATCTGACTTGGAGGTGACTTCCATTAAAGTCTATGGGCACAAGTGGGATAGAAGTCGCCTTGAAGTAGTACAGGAACCTTTTCGGAGCGACTTCAGTAGTAGCTCATTAAGACAGCTGTCATTGACCAACATGGGATTTCACACGTTATGCGACTTGGGGGTCTCACAAGTCGGATCCCAAGTCGTAGCAGTGTGAACTGAGTCTTACAATCTCTGGTACCAAGTTGCACCCATCCCCCGAGCCAAAGTCATCCCCTGTGTCGCACCCATCCAAATTCGCATCAAAGTCAATACTTTCCAATTGCAAAAAAAAAATAACACATCAAACAATACATACCTTTCTACTGTGTGTCCATTGAAGTCTGTTGAACCAAAAACGCACTGTGTTGGGTTTAAAAAAAAAAAGTCCCTGACCCTTTCCAAAATCGCAGCAGCTGAAAAATGCACAGATTCATGTGTCCCATAGGCAGCCATGTTAAATGGGCTTCTGCAAAATGCACCAAAAAACGCAGAAGTGTGAAGCAGACCTAAGATTCCGCCTCAGCTGTCGCCCCGTTTAGACGAGATGTAAACCCACCAAGCTGCCGCCTGCATTCTCCCATCTTTGAAGGCTTTTCGTCAGTTTCACAGCTTTGTAGTTCAGGTCTCCTCCTCATAGATTTCTAGGAGACGCGGCACTCCAGACTCTCCCCTCCACTGTAGTTCAGGTCTCCTCTGTCTAGGAGACGCGGCACTCCAGACTCTCCCCTCCACTGTAGTTCAGGTCTCCTCTGTCTAGGAGACGCGGCACTCCAGACTCTCCCCTCCACTGTAGTTCAGGTCTCCTCTGTCTAGGAGACGTGGCACTCCAGACTCTCCCCTCCACTGTAGTTCAGGTCTCCTCCGTCTAGAAGATGCGGCACTCCAGACTCTCCCCCCCCACTGTAGTTCAGGTCTCCTCCGTCTAGGAGACGCGGCACTCCAGACTCTTCCCCCCCCCCCCCCCCCCCACTGTAGTTCAGGTCTCCTCACAGACCTCTAGAAGACGCGGCACTCCAGACTCTCCCCTCCACTGTAGTTCAGGTCTCCTCCGTCTAGAAGATGCGGCACTCCAGACTCTCCCCTCCACTGTAGTTCAGGTCTCCTCCGTCTAGGAGACGCGGCACTCCAGACTCTCCCCCCCACTGTAGTTCAGGTCTCCTCACAGACTCTTCCCTCCGCTCCTCCAGGACTGTCACTTCTCAGTGCGGACATTTTATTTCTGTGATTTTCACCCCCCCCCCCTCCCCCCACCTTGTACAATTTCCAGGCTGTAAATACCGGTCAGTTTGTAGTGTTGTTTCTATAACATAAAACAAAGTGAGGTTTTTGGGTTCCAGAGTCGGCCATGTTTTTCCTCTCTGTATTGTAGCGTGTTCCTTTTTATTTCATTTACTGTTTAGGTTTTTATTGATCTGTTTTTTTTTGCAATATAAAAGGAATTGGATGACAAGAGGAGCAAATGTTGTGTATTTGGAGTCCGCAGAGTGTCCCTCCAATCATCCTGGGACGGTGGTCTATGGGGCATTAGGCCTTGTTCACACGTGCTTCAGCTCAGACAGGAGCGCTCTACACCAAGCATTGGGAAGACTTTGCGCTGCTTTGTTGAGGCATGTACCCTCTTCACGGCGGCGACTCCCGGCCCTTTAAGGGGTTTCAGATGCCGGAGGGGGTGGAGTTTTAGGGTCATGTGACCGCCGTGATTTGCTGTCAAATGATCGGAATATCTCCCCTTGAGATCAGGACCTTTCCGTAAGACACCGACATATGTGCAGGGAGTGCAGTGATCAGGACCAACGAAAAGGCGTCCAGGAAGGAAAACCAACCAACCGGTGACAGGGTCATAGGCAGGCAAGGCTCATGGATGGAGGTGGGGAGGGAAGGCTCATTGATGTAGGTGAGAAGGGAAGGCTCGTGGATGGAGGTTGGGAGGGAAGGCTCATGGATAGAGGAGGGGAGAGGAGAGAAGGCTCGTGGATGAGGGTGGGGCGGGGAAAGAAGGCTCTTGCATGGAGGTGGGGAGGGGGGGAGACTAGGCTCTTGGATGGAGGTGGGGAGGGGAGACTAGGCTCGTGGATGGAGGTGGGGAAGGGAGACTAGGCTCGTGGCTGGAGGGGGGGAGGTGAGGCTCTTGGATGGAGGTGAGAAGGCACGTGGATGGGGGAGGGGGAGAGAAGGCACGTGGATGGAGGTGGGCAGGGAAGGCTTACTGACGGAGGTGGGAGGGGAGGAAAGGCTCACCATTGGAGTTGGGGGGGCCCACGGATGGAGATGGGGAGGGAAGGCTCATGGATGGAGGTGGGGAGGTAAGGAAACGTTCACTCACTTGGGGAGGCTCACTGATGGAGGTGGGGAGGTAAGGAAAGGCTCAGTGACTTGGGGGGGGGGGGGGGGGGCTCACTGATGGAGGTGGGGAGGTAAGGAAAGGCTCACTGACGGAGGTGGGAGGGGAGGACAGGCTCACGGATGGAGTTGGGGGGGGGGTTCACGGATGGAGATGGGGAGGCAAGGCTCATGGATGGAGGTGGGGAGGGAAGGAAAGGCTCATTGACTTGGGGGGGCGGCGGCGCGCTCATTGATGGAGGTGGGGAGGGAAGACTTACTGATGGAGTTGGGAAGGGGGAGGCTCACTGATGAAGGGGAAAGGCCCAGACTGTTCAGTCCAATCCAATAGAAGAGCTGCTGGAGGTCAAATTACTGAAAAAGTCAATTCCGCAGCATCGCAGTTTGTGATGTAGGGGGCTGTGTAGCCGCAGACCGCGCAGGGTGTCCATGCTGACCCGTGTCCACAGCCAAAAGTGTTACAATGGGCAAGTGAGCATCAGAACTGGACCACGGAGCAATGAGAGAAGGTGGCCTGGTCTGAAGAATTCAAGAATGGTTTGTGGAACCTGATATTGAGTTTAAAGTGCCTCCAAATCTCAACACTTCAGTCATCTGGGGGAAGTGCTGGAAACGCGAGCTTAACATGGTCATTTCAAAAATGATTCTCAATCTTTTAAATTCTGCAGCTTTGATTAAAAAAAAGCCAATAAAGATCCTTGTTAAGGACCGCGATGGGCTCCTGTTCCCTACAACTACCTCCTGTCGTAGATTTTGACAGATTACTAGAAAATGGCAAAGCCTAGCCTGCTCCATCTGACGTCCAGGTCCCGATCTTCCTCCTAGTAGCTGTAGGTCCACAGACATTGCTGCATGATGAAGCACACGCCCACCTACCTATCCCCTTTCTCCTAGATCCGGGGTCTCCAAACTATGGACCTCCAGGTATTCAGGAACTGCAAGTCCCATGATGCCTTTCAAGACCCATAGAGGTATGATGGGACTTGTAGTACTTCAACAGCTGGAGGGAAATAGTTTGGAGATCCCTGTCCTAGAGGAACCACAAACTTCACCAAGTATGACTGTAGGGTGATTTGAGTTGTGAAGATGCAGGCATTGGAGTAATCTGAGGGGCGAAGGTTCAGGACTTCGGGTGATCTGAGGGGCAAAGGTGCGGAAATTGGGATTTGAGGGGTGAAGGTGCAGGAATTGGGGTAACCTGAGGTGTGGAGGTACAGCAATTGGAGCTGGTTTGAGGGTGCTCTGAGGGGTGAAGGTGCAGGAAATGGGGGGATCTGAGGGGTGAAGGTACAGGAAATGGGGGGATCTGAGGGGTGAAAGTGCAGGAAATGGGGCGATCTGAAGGGTGAAGATGCAACAATTGCGGTGATCTGAGGGGTGAAGGTGCAGGAATTGGGGTGACCTGAGGGGTGGAGGTACAGCAATTGGAGCTGGTTTGAGGGTGCTCTGAAGGGTGAAAGTGCAGGAAATGGGGGGGATCTGTGGGGTGAGTTATGCAAATATAAAAATGCCTTGATGGTTGGACATCAAGTTGATGAAGTGGGTGGTCCTTGGCAGACTGTATTTGCACCACCCTAGGTAACACCCACATACATTCCTGAGCCTCCATGATTGAAGATTTTAAAATCCAATGAATAAAATGGGCTAGGGAGGGAGGAGCTAGATAATGCTCCAGCCAGGAAATGAGGCGGGAGCTCTGACTGGCTGCAGCTTCTAATCCACATTGTGAGACGCTCCCAGTGTGCAGTGACATCAGAGGAAGCCATATCAGTACAGGGGAGGAGCCAGTACAACTAAGCAAGACTGGAGGGGAGGAGCCGGTACACCTGTGCAAGACTGAAGGGGAGGAGCCGGGTACACCTGTGCAAGACTGAAGGGGAGGAGTCGGTGCAAGACTGAAGGGGAGGAGCCGGGTACACCTGTGTAAGACTGAAGGGGAGGAGCCGGTACACCTGTGCAAGAGTGAAGGGGAGGAGCCGGTACACCTGTGCAAGACTGAAGGGGAGGAGCCGGTACACCTGTGCAAGACTGAAGGGGAGGAGCCGGTACACCTGTGCAAGACTGAAGTGGAGGAGCCGGTACACCTGTGTAAGACTGAAGGGGACTGGAGCCGGTACACCTGTGCAAGACTGAAGGGGGAGGAGCCGGTACACCTGTGCAAGACTGAAGGGGAGGAGCCAATACACCTGTGCAAGACTGAAGGGGAGGAGCCGGTACACCTGTGCAAGACTGAAGGGGAGGAGCCAATACACCTGTGCAAGACTGAAGGGGAGGAGCCGGTACACCTGTGTAAGACTGAAGGGGAGGAGCCGGTACACCTGTGCAAGACAGAAGGGGAGGAGCCGGTACACCTGTGCAAGACTGAAGAGGAGAATATACAACTGTCTTCTGGAAATTTGAATTTTGAATAGAATACATTTGAATAGAATAGAAAAAAACAGACTGAAATAGAATATAACTTCTTCAAAATTTTAATAGAAAAAACAGTAGAATTAAAACTGTCTTTCGAAATTCAAATTTTGAGTAGAATAAATTTTAATTTAAATAGATTATAATAAACTAGAAAAATAAGAGAATAGAATAGAAAAAAATAGAATAGAATACCACTGTCTTCTGAAATTCGAATAGATTAGAATAAAAAAAAAAAAAAAAAGTAGAATAAAAACTGTCTTTCGAATTTCGAGTAGAATAAATTTGAATTCAAATAATCAGAATAGAAAATAAGAGAATAGAAAAGAAACAACAGAATAGAATTCAATAGAAAATAATAAACTAGAATACAATCGTCTTCTAAAATTTTAATTTCAAATAGAATACATTCTGAATAGAATTTAAAAAACACATAGAATAAAAACTCTTCCGAAATTCAAATTTCAAGTAGAATAAATTGGAATTCACATAGAATAGAAAAAAAACAATAGAATAGAACTGTCTTCTGAAATTCGAATAGAATAAATTTGAATAGATTCAAATAGAAAAAACAATGGAATAAAGCAGAATATAACGCTTCCGAAATGTGAATAGAATAGCATAGAAAAAACAGTGGAACAAAATAGAATATAACTGTCCTCTGAAATTCGAAGTTCAAGTAGAATAAATTTGAATTCAAATAGATTACAACAAAAAAAAAAAACTGAATAAAAAATAAGTGTCAAGGTCCTACCTTTTTCCTGTGGTTATGTTACTTCATGTGCTGGTGTCCATCTTGGATTCTGCTGTGCATGATGGGAGCCCTTTTATGCCTTCAGGTCTCTGAGGTCCATCCCCCAGAGGGGTGTGGCTGATGACATATAAGCCTGTGGCCCGCACATGCTCTTTGCACTTGTGTCTTGTGTCTTTGTGTCGCTATTACTCTGTTCTGACTCTCGTGACTCTCCTGGTATTCTGATTCGGCTTGTGACTCGACTATTCTTTGTATTCTCCTTTGATCTGACCCTCTGTTGCTGAACCCGGCTCGTGACCTGTGATTCTCGTCTGCTGTCCTGTACTGTTCTGTCCTGTTGTTGTTGACCCGGCTTGTCTGACTACTCTTTTGTCTCTTCCACCAGCTACACGCCATTGGCGGCGGCCAATACCGCAGCTGAGGTGTCTCGGGGGCCGCGACCTGGTTCCTGGCTGCGTCAAGTCCATCCCCAGCATCAGGGGCCCTGGTGAAGGGCAGCCTGGGACTTAGACTCCGAGCCCTGAGGGACTTTGGTCTGTGGGTGGTGGTTGTCGTCAGCCAGTGCGTTACATTGTTAGGCCTGCCTGTCCGTTCCTCAGCTCCTGCCCTGACAATAAGAGAATAGAATAGAAAAAAAAAACAAAAGAATAGAACTCTTCTCCAAAATTCAAGAAAAATAAACAATAGTAAAGAAACAACAGAAAATAGAGAGAATAGAAAAAGAAACAATAGAATAGAATTCAATAGAAAACAATAAACTGGAATACAACCGTCTTCTAAAATTTTAATTTCAAATAGAATTTCAAGTAGAATAAATTGGAATTGAAATAGAATAGAAAAAAAAAACCATAGAATAGAACTGTCTTCTGAAATTTGAACTTTGAATTTCCTGAATTTGAAATGTCAATTTTAAATTTTCGGGTCGAATCGAATTCAAATCAAATGCAAAACAAATCGAATTCCAAAAATGAAATACACTAATTTAATTAAACAAAATTATTTAACCTCTTCCCGTCCGGCCGTTGTATATAAACGGCCGGACGGTGGCAGTGCAGGGGCGGGTGGACGTTTATAAACAGCCTCCCCAACTCCTGCTTGTGCGCGCTTCCTGGGGAGCGCGCAGCACCGCGATTCGGTGCCCGCTGTGTCCCTCTGGACACAGTGGAACATTGATGGTCATACAGGACCTCTGTGGGAGGTCCCGATCATGTGATCACTGGCCAATCAGTGATCACATGCAGAGTAGTAAGCAAGATGTCACTTCTGACATCATTGCTTACTACTAGTGAAATCTGTGAATGATCACCGAGATCACATGGTACAGGGCCATTCACAACAGCCTTGTACCATGTGACAAGCTGTGACCAATCACAGCTCTCACAGTATTTCTCAAGGGCTACAGGAATGCAGCCAGAGAGAAGGAGAAATGATTGATGTTACAGCCTTTATGGGTATAAAAGCAATCAGTGTAAAAAACAAAAAAAATCATTACCACCCAGCACAAGTAGTAGTGTCACCATGGTGACCCCACACTGCTAGGGTGACAGTATGTAAAAAAAAAAAATAATATAAAAACGTAAAATTTTTTTTTTTTTTAAATTTTATAATTTTTGGTTATAAACTAATTTGGGTTTTTTTTTTACTAAAGGGATAACGGAATAAATTTTGGCCGATATTTATGATGAAATATTTATTTGCAAAATTGTATAACAAAAACACTTTTTTTCAAATTTTTTGGACTTTTTCATTTATATAGCAAAAAAAATAAAAAATCCCAGCGGTGAATAAATACCACCAAAATAAAGCTTTATCTGTCTCAAAGAAAATGCTAAAAAATTCATATGGGTACAGTGTTGCATGACCGCGCAATTGTCATTCATAGTGTGATAGCGCTGAAAGCTGAAAATTGGTGTGGAGGGGAAGTGGGGGTGAAAGTGTCCGGACTGGAAGGGGGGGAAAGTGTCCGGACTGGAAGGGGGGGGAAAGTGTCCGGACTGGAAGGGGGGGGAAAGTGTCCGGACTGGAAGGGGGGGGAAAGTGTCCGGACTGGAAGGGGGGGGAAAGTGTCCGGACTGGAAGGGGGGGGAAAGTGTCCGGACTGGAAGGGGGGGGAAAGTGTCCGGACTGGAAGGGGAGGAAGTGTCTGAACCGGAAGGGGGGGGGAAGCGACCGGAAGGAGAGGAGAGCGTCCAGACCAGAAGGGGGGGAAAGTGTCCGGACCGGAAGGGGGGGAAAGTGTCCAGACTGGAAGGGGGAAAGTGTCCGGACTGGAAGGGGGTGAAAGTGTCCGGACTGGAAGGGGGGGGGAAGTGTCCGGACTGGAAGGGGGGGGGAAGTGTCCGGACTGGAAGGGGGGAAAGTGTCTGAACCAGAAGGGGGGGGGGGAAGCGACCGGAAGGAGAGGAGAGCGTCCAGACCAGAAGGGGGGGAAAGTGTCCGGACCAGAAGGGGGGGAAAGTGTCTGGACCGGAAGGGGGGGCGTCTGGACCGGAAGGGGGGGAAGTGTCTGAACCAGAGGGGGGGGGGAAACGACCGGAAGGAGAGGGGAGCGTCGGGACTGGAAGGGGGGGAAAGTGTCCGGACCGGAAGGGGGGGAAGGGGGGGAAAGTGTCCGGACCGGAAAGGGGGGGGGAAAGTGTCCGGACCGGAAGGGGGGGAAAGTGTCCGGACCGGAAGGGGGAGAAAGTGTCCAGACCGGAAGGGGGGGAAAGTGTCCAGACTGGAAGGGGGGGAAAGTGTCTGAACCAGAAGGGGGGGGGGGGGAAGCGACTGGAAGGGGGGGGGGAAGCGACCGGGGGGGGGGAGTGTCCAGACTGGAAGGGGGGGGGGGGGTGTCTGAACCAGAAGTGGGGGGGGGGAAGCGACCGGAATGGGGGGGGAGTGTCTGGACTGGAAGGGGTTAAAGAAACTATTTTTTTTTCCGTTGATGATTTCTGGGTGAGGGATGCAATGTAATGGGGCAGCCTGACTGCTGCTGTATAAATCGTCTGCATCTCATCCAACTACCCCTTGATGAGCCGTGTGCGGAGTGCCTTTTTTTATTCAGTAAGTGCTTGGGGGGGGGCCAGGACGCCTCCTCCTACCATCGGGGGGGGGCTAGGCCAGCCTCCTCCTACCACCCATGTGAAGGCCGCCATCATACTGATGGTGTTGTGACATGTTTTACCTCCACACAGATCCGCAGGGCGGTTCCTCTGCTCTAGCAGCCAACGAGCGTGACGCTTTATAAATCATGGGCTGCCTCGGGGCACAGAAAGGTGCGGCCGGGTCCTAGGGACCCACCACAATGGAGGAGCCGGAACATCTGTAGGGCCATCACAAATGACGTGAATCTTGGGGGGGGGAAAAATCACGAAAAATATTTCAGAATAAATTATAACAGAACTCATTGAAGAGGAAACCGGCTGGAAGCAGAAGCTTGCGCCTGCGCGGAGGAACCACTGGAACCCCCCTCCCCTCCCCCGACACTTGTTATGTAATGCAGCCGGAGGTATTGTCTTCATTGTTTCCACACTTATATCATTCTTATAAGATGGATTGGAGAGCCGCCAGATCCCAGATCCTTTCCTGGAAACTCTCAAACATCCCTGGAAATGCTACAAAATGACATTTTGAAACTAGATGGAATGCAGCAGATGTGGTGAACCACAAGTCCCAGCAGGATACAGGGCGCATTCAGAGCCCCCGTCACTGTTTCCGATGTTGTGCTGCAGCCAGATACCGCAGTTGTTTACAATCATTTTTTTTCTCATTATTCTACACTCCGTACCCCATAGAATGAAATAGAATGCAACTGTCTTCCAAAATGTGAATTAAAAAAAAAGTTGAATAGAATAGAACAGAATAGATTTTTTTAGATTAGAATAGAACAGAATACAAACATTTCTGAATAGAATAAATTTGAACAGAATAGAAAATAAGAGAATAGAAAAAAAACAAACAATAGCATAGAATGTAACTGTCTTCCGAAATTCAAATAGAAGAAATTTGAATAGAATAGAAAAAAAACAGTAGAAGGAAATAGAATATAACTGTTC